TCCTTCTCCTCCTCCCCGCGCCTCGTCCCTCCTCATTCCTGGACTCCTCCTCCTCCTCCTCCTCCTCCTCCTCCTCCTCCTTCTCTTCACTCTTGGTCTGGCCTGATCGCCCCTGCGAGCAGAGGAGGTGGATGGCCCCGAGAGGTTACGGGAGGGCAAGATTGCACGGTAAAGGGCACGATCCCATGCAGCTGCGTGAGGCGCACGTTGTGGACATCTCTTCAAATACAACGCGCCACGGGGTAGTGCGGATAGCGGGCTGCGTAGCGAGCGAGCAGAGGCTCGCTGAATTCCTTTTTGGGGCACGATTCGCGTGAGGGAACGCGCCCGCCGAGACCGTTTGTGGAGCTTCCAGTGAGGCTCGGTCCGCGTGAGGTCTGTGCCGAAGGTGGCGTGGGCCCGCGTGCCAGCGCCCTCGCTGGGGCTGCAGGTGGAGCCGCCTGTGGGGCACGATCTGCGCGAGGGGCTTTCCAGCATCAGCAGGGCGACGCCGTGCGAACCCGCCCACTGGGCCATGGGTGAAGCTCCCTGTGGGGCGCTATCCGCGTGAGGGGTGTGCCGACATGGGCACGGGGACGGCATGCGAGCGAGGCCGCTGGAGGCGTAAGCACGATCCATGTGAGGCGTGTGCCGAAACGGGCAGCGGGGGGACAGCACGCAGGCACCCCCTACTGGGGCCATAGGTGAAGCTGCCTGTGGGGAACGATCCGTATGAGAGGTGCGCTGAAATCAGCTTGCGAGCACACAGCACCCCCCCGCTAGGGCCGCCGGTGGAGCTCCCTGTCGGGCACGATCTGCGTGAGATGTGTGCTGACATGGGCGTGGGGGCGCCATGCGTCTGCGCCCACTGAGACCGTACGTGGAGCTCCCCTGGAGCGCACGTTCCGCGTGAGCGGTGTGCCGACACGGGGCGGGGAGCGCTTCATGGCGCTGGCACCCGTCGAGGCCGCAGGTGGAACCCTTTTTATGAGGCCTCGATCGGGAAGGGGCCAGAGTGGGCGAAGGCAGGAAGGGGAGGAGGGTGAGGCGGTCGCTCGGCACTGCGGGCTTCAAACGAGGACCCAACTCCACACGTGGAGCTCCCCTATGGCACGACCCGCGTGAGGGGTATGGCGAAATGGACGCGGCGCCGCCATGATAGCACCTCCACTGGGACCGCAGGTAGGGCTTCCTATGATGGACACGAAATAGGTGAGTGGGGCGGGAAGAGAGGGGCGCAGCGCTGCATTCAATACGAGGATCCAACATCACAGGAGAGGAAAAACGTTCCCTCCCTTCGCCGGAGGCGGTTTCTGCGGCCACTCGCGGCCGCGAAGGCGCGCTCCCCCCCCCCCCCCCCTGCACACACAAACACACACACACACACCACACACACACACACATACACACACATACACGCACACACGCACACACGCACACACCCACACACCCACACACCCACACATCCACACACCCACACACCCACACACCCACACACCCACACACCCACACACCCACACATCCACACATCCACACACCCACACACCACACACCCACACACCCACACACCCACACCCACAAGCACGCACGCACACGCACACGCACCCATGCTTGATCATGCCGCGCACCGTGCCCAAATGTTCAGGCCGTCGCTTTATCAACTTCCACATATATATATATATGTAGATATATACATACCTATACGACCACCCTTCGGGTGATAAAGAGGTTCGGGGGGGGAGGAACTAACGTCTCACTCGATCGGTCTCACTATCGATCTCAGTATCGGTCTCGCTCGATCGATCTCCCTTGATCGATCTCACAATCGATCTCACTCGATCTATCTCACAATTGATCTGACTATCGATCTCACAATCGATCTCACAATCGATCTCACAATCGATCTCACATTCGGTCTCACTATCGATCTCACTATCGATATCACAACCGCTATCACAATCAACGTCATCATCGTCATCATCATCAACAACAACATCAACATCAACATCATCATCACCAACATCATCATAATCGGGACACCGTCCTCATCATCAACACCAACATCATCATCATCATCACGGTCATCAACATCATCGGGACACCACCATCATCATCATCATCACCATCATCACAATAATCAGCATCATCAACATCATCATCATCAGCAGCATCGGGACACAGTCATCGTCATCATCATCATCATCACCATCATCACAATAATCAGCATCATCAACATCATCATCATCAGCAGCATCGGGACACAGTCATCGTCATCATCATCAGCAGAAGCAGCATCATCATCGGGACACCATCATGATCACCATCGTTATCATCATCATCGGGACACCATCATCATCATCTCATCCTCATCAGCGACATCATCATCATCAGCATCATCAACATCATCATCAGCATCATCATCATCGTCATCATCGGGGCACCATCATCATCATTACCAACATCAGCATCAACATCATCCTCATCATCATCATCATCATCATCACCATCGGGACGCCATCATCATCAACATCATCAGCACCATCAGAATATTCATCATCATCGGGACGCCATAATCATCATCAACCTCATCATCATCAACATCATCATCATCGGGACACAATCATAATCAGCATCATCAACATCAACATCATCATACTCATCATCATTATCGGGACACCATCATCGTCATCATCATGATCATCAACATAATCATCATGATCATCATCATCCTCATCATCTGGACTCCATCAGCATCATCATCATCATCGTCATCATCATCATCAGCATCATCATCATCGTCACCATCGGGACACCATCATCATATCATCATCATCATCATCATCATCATCATCGTCCTCATCATCATCATCAGCATCACCATCATCATCATCATCGTCATCATCAGCAGCATCATCATCATTATCAGCATCACCATCATCTGTATTATCATCATCATCATCATCATCATCATCATCATCATCATCATCATCATCATCATCATCATCATCGCGGGACACCGCGGGACACCGGCGGGACACCGCGGGGCACCGCGGGACACCGCGGGGCACCGCGGGACACCGGCGGGTCACCGGCGGGACACCGCGCGCCACCAGCCGCCCGGAAGAGACACATTTGGTCCGGCCGCGCCTCAGCCACAGGGACACCGACGGGACACCAGCGGGACACCGGCGGGACACCGCGCGCCACGGGCCGCCCGGAAGAGACACATTAGGTCCAGCCGCGCCTCAGCCACAGGAGACTTTCCTTTCGCCCGCCCACGCAGCTTCGCCTCGCCCGCGCGCACGGCACGCACGAACACGAAACCGAAATCGATTTCCCGGTAGGGGGGCTCTCTGTTCCACTTCGATCTCACCCCCTCACCTCCGATATACATACATACATACATACATACACATATACATGCATACATACATACATACATACATACAAACATACAAACATACAAACATACATACAAACATACATACATACATACATATTTACATACATACATACATACACACATACATTCATACATACACACATACATACATACATACATACATACATACATACATACATACATACATACATATGTATATAAATGTATATATATATATATATATATATGCATATGTAGATGTATTGCAAACTTGCGTGTCGTGTCACATCCATGGGCTCAGACTCCCCCATGCCCTTCCCCCTCCCCCTCCCTCCCTTGCCTACTGTCTCCGCCTGGCCCCCCTTCCGCCTGCCCGCCCGCCCCGCCGGCCCCGGCCTCCTCTTCCCCTGGCGGGATCGTGGCGGGATCGTGGCGGGAGCAGCGAAGCCTGCCCGGGAGCAGCGTGGCAGTGCGTTGAACCACCAACATGGCAATGACTGCCGTCTTCCTCCCCCTCCTCACTCTCCGAAGCCCTCCTCTGTCCTCACCTGTAGACTTGCGCCGTCTTTCCAGTGGCGCTTCTGGCAGGATCTGCGCTCGCCCGCAAGCCTACCCACACACACATGCACAACGCGCGCACGCCAGCACGAACAACCTTCTGAGCATTGGGTTCAGGAATCCTCTCTCCAAAGGTTGGGCCAGCGTTTCCTAAGCAACTTGTCGGAAAGCTGGCCCAGTTTCTTGAGCTCGTTCGCCCCTCCAGCGTAGCGTTAACACGAAAGTTTGGCCCAGGCTTGTCTTAAGAAACTTCGGAAAGCTGGCCCAAGTTTCTTAACTGATAAACTTCGTGAACGTAGTTTCGGCTGTAACCTTCGACTTTACCCATCCCCTGACTCGACCGAGAAGCAGGACTCACCCCCGCACGCCCCTCCCCCCAGCCCACGCCCCACCCACATCGTAACCCCAAGTCTAAGCCCAGCTAGCGGATACTCTTTTCAAGTGGCTGGCGTTGCCGGCGGCCACTGTGCCGCTCGCGACGCACCACCGGTTGAGCAGGGGCTGCCCAGTGGGTAGTGGCAGTTCAAAGTCTGGAGTTAAGTCCGATTGAGGTCAAAGGAAAGTCGCCAACGGAGTCGATACGCAGTTGTCGACCTTAAGCCAACAGTGAAGCGAACATCTAGTCAATGAAGTCGGAATCAAGCCAATGAAGTCGGAGTTCAGTCAATGAAGTCGCGGTGCAGTCATATCATCTTCTCTTTTCTTTTCTTTTTCGCCGTCCTTCGGCATTGTGAACAGCAGGGCGGCTTCGTTTGGCCAGCACGTTGAATGCCCGCGGCCCCGAAGGCGAACACCGTAATATGCCCGAAGGGGTATGCCGTGACACGCTGTGTCCAATGCTGAACCAAAAAGCCCTTGGGGAACAGGGGCTGCCTCTCACACACATGCACCAACACACACACACGGCCAGAGGACGAGGCCGCCCGAGCGAGGCGTTCCCCATCCACGGCGTCTCTCCGTGGCCTTATAAGGCGACCAGACGGCCTCGAGAAACCCCACAGTGTCGCCCCTCAGTAGCTGTTCCAGCTAGTCCACCCGCCCTTCCCGAAGCCCTCTACGGCGCCCCGCGCCGAGCCTCGCCTGGGCGCCGCCGAATGCGACGCCGCCCGGCGACTCCGTTTGGCGACGGCGGCGATGATGATCGAAGACGACGGCCATCGAAGACGACGATCGACGACGGCGACAAGTCGGACGGGGCTAGGACGAGGATGAAGCCGCTCCAGAACGTTCCAGAACTGTCTCAGAGTGTTCCGGAACGCTCTGAGAAGGCCGCGACGCCCGATAAATGTTCCAGAGCCCCGGATTTCCGAGATTCTCGATCTATCCTCACCCGATGTGATCTTCCTTCTGGCTTCGTCTTCACTAACGAGCACGGCGACGACGCCCAGCGGTGTCGACGGCGGCGGCGGCGTCGACGGCGCCCCGCGACGGCGACAGCACCGACCGAGCACCCCGCGGCCGGCGCGCCGCCCGCTGGCGCCAGAGAGGTCCTCCGCTTCTAGCTCCGGCCGCGCGGGCGCGGGCCCCGAGGCCGCGGGCTGCCCCGCTTCTCAAGGGTAAGAGCAGGACGGGGCAAGTAGGCCAGGACGAGGACGAATCCGTTCCAGAGCGTTCCAGAACGCGCCCAGAGCGTTCCGGAACGCTATGAGAAGGCCGAGGCATCATCCAGATCCGCCGGATCTCAGAGATTCGCGATTTATCCGTACCCGATTTTATCTTCGTCCTGGCTTCGTCTCAGGATAGTGAAAGGGGGACGTACGAAATCTGCTGCTTGCAGCTGGTTTCCGCCCCGCCGCTGGTCCCATTCCTCGATACATGGGCGCCTCCCGGCGTCAGGAAAACCAGCTACGTGAGTCGATTCGTTACCCGTCCTCCCCGATTTTCGCCATGGGGGAAACGGATCCTTATGGAACTGGTTCCTACGGTGTTTCGCCGTTTTTGGCTTCTCGGTGCCCTCCACGGACCCTGGGACTGTCAGAAAACGACTCAGGATGAAGATCTCGTCCTTTGGAGAGGTCCTGGGATCCAGGATCCGTTTCCTTCAGGACCCGTTTCCCCCATGCAAACTCTCTTTCTCTCTCTCTCTCTCTCCTTCTCTCTCTCTCGGGGGAAGGGGCGCTGGCGGATGGCCGGGGCAGCCTTCCTCCGAGAGGGCCTGGGCTCCTGCTGCTGCTACTCCTCCTCCTCCTCCTCCTCTTCCTCCTCCTCCTCCTCCTCCTTCTCTTCCTCCTCTCGGGCACTGGGAGAAAGCCCACCCGGACGAGTCGGCAGGAGATCTACACGGGTTCATTCGACATTGGCATTCGAGTGCGTCAGTGTAGTCACCAGTCGTTTTCGCTAATCGATGTGCGTTTCGCCGGACACGTTTTTTTTTCGGACGTCGATGAACTACCCCGCTTGAGTGCACTTGGAATGCGGAGCCGTGCGCACGGGGAGTCCTTGGCAGCGTTCACTGAAAGACGTTTTGCTAAAGCAGGTTCTGTGCACCTCCTCCTCCCCTGAGATCAGGGCATTGCAGCGTTTTCGCGCCGGGTGTTTTCGCGCGGTTTCGGGCCCCAGGCTCATCACAGGTCGATCCAACGTTCAAAGTGCTGCAGACAGATTGGGCCTAGGGCGTCTCTCCCTGCCTCACCTCTCACCTGCTCCCCTCACCAGGGGGTTTTGCGGCGGCCACGGTGCTCACACCGCCCCTCCCACAGCTGCCACTTACGACCTCGCACGCCTCCCTCCACGACTGCCTTTCTGCCTTCACCACAAGCTCGCAATATAATTGTTCATTGTTATGGTTGCACGTTTTTTTCCCAACCATCCTGTGGTGTTGGGTCCTCGTTTTGAAGAGACGTCGCCCCGCGTTCCTCCTTCCTCCTCCTTCCTCCTCCTCCCGTTCCTCCCCCCTCCTCCCCCTCCCACACCCATTCTGGCACACCCCTCACACGTTTCGTGGCCCCATAGGGAGCTCCACCGAAGGCCCCAGTGGCTGCGCCCGCATGCGGTTCCACCCCCCATTCTGGCACACCCTTCACACGTTCGTGGCCCCATAGGGAGCTCCACCGAAGGCCCAGTGGCTGCGCCCGCATGCGGTTCCACCCTCCATTCTGGCACACCCCTCACACGTTTCGTGGCCCCATAGGGAGCTCCACCGAAGGCCCCAGTGGCTGCGCCCGCATGCGGTTCCACCCCCCATTCTGGCACACCCCTCACACGTTTCGTGGCCCCATAGGGAGCTCCACCGAAGGCCCCAGTGGCTGCGCCCGCATGCGGTTCCACCCCCCATTCTGGCACACCCCTCACACGTTTCGTGGCCCCATAGGGAGCTCCACCGAAGGCCCCAGTGGCTGCGCCCGCATGCGGTTCCACCCCCCATTCTGGCACACCCCTCACACGTTTCGTGGCCCCATAGGGAGCTCCACCGAAGGCCCCAGTGGCTGCGCCCGCATGCGGTTCCACCCCCCATTCTGGCACACCCCTCACACGTTTCGTGGCCCCATAGGGAGCTCCACCGAAGGCCCCAGTGGCTGCGCCCGCATGCGGTTCCACCCCCCATTCTGGCACACCCCTCACACGTTTCGTGGCCCCATAGGGAGCTCCACCGAAGGCCCCAGTGGCTGCGCCCGCATGCGGTTCCACCCCCCATTCTGGCACACCCCTCACACGTTTCGTGGCCCCATAGGGAGCTCCACCGAAGGCCCCAGTGGCTGCGCCCGCATGCGGTTCCACCCCCCATTTCGGCACACCCCTCACACGCTTCGTGGGTGGCTCCATGGGGAGCTCCACCGAACGCCCCAGTGGCTGCGCTCGCATGTGGTTCCCCCCTCCATTTCGGCACACCCCTCACACGGTTCGTGGCCCCATAGAGAGCTCCACCGAAGGCCCCAGTGGCTGCGTCATGTGGCGGGAGCTCCACCCGTTGCCTCGCATGCCCACCCCAATTCGGGCACCCCTCACACGTTTTCGTGGCCCCATAGGGAGCTCCACCGAAGGCCCCAGTGGCTGCGCTGGCATGCGGTTCCACACCCCATTCTGGCACACCCCTCGCACGTTTCGTGGCCCCATAGGGGGCTCCACCAAAGGTCCCAGTGGCACTGCCCGCTTGCGTCCGCCACCACCCAGCACAGCCCTTGTTCCCTGCGCTTCGCCCACCCAGAACAGCGCTTCGTAGCCCTATAGGGAGCTCCACCAAAGGTCCCAGCGGCACCGCCCGCATGCGTCCGCCACCACCCTGCGCAGCCCTTGCTCCCTGCCTGCGTTTCACCCACCCAGTACAGCGTTTCGTGGCCCCACAGGGAGCTCCACCGAAGGTCCCAGTGGCACCGCTCGCATGCGTCCGCCACCACGCAGCACAGCCCTTGCTGACCGCGTCTCACCCACCCAATACAGCGTTTCGTGGCCCCATAGGGAGCTCCACCGAAGGTCCCAGTGGCACCGCCCGCATGCGTCCGCCACCACCCAGCACAATTGCGGCATTCACAACTGCATATGGTTGGGTCCTTCGCCAGGCTAATTTTTTTGGGGGGTTGTTGTTATACGCTTGCTTTGTCTTTGGTCTCAACGAATTTGCAGAGCAATGTCAATGTTCCGCTTGTTTCCTTCCTTCCCTGTGTGCCGCCCCCCCACCTGATGTCGCACACGCCTTCGCGTCCTTCGGAGCGTGTGCGGGGCGTGAGTGCCATCGAGGACTGGCCGGTGGGTGGTCTGGCTGGAGCCGCGCGAGCAAACTCTCGGGCGCGCCTACGTATTGACCTCTTCCCCCATTTGCCTCATGATCACCGCCTTGATTATCATCGTCTCCTCGGGCTGCTGCTGCTCCCTCCGCCGTCTCTTCCGTTCCATCTCCGGTGCCACCGTGGGTTGTTTCTTCTCTCTCGTTCTGTGTCTCTGTCTCTCTCTCTCTCTCTCTCTCTTTCTGCCCCTCCCTTCTCCCCCGCCCTCCCTCCCTGTTTCACTCCAGTCATTCGTTTCCTCCCTCGCTGCTTACTCCGGTCAATTGTCTTGTTTATGTATGTTTGTTGTATCTCTCTTTCTATGTATATAAACATACGTATACTATTATCTCTCCCTCGTTGTGTTATCACTCTCTCTCTCTCTCTATAATATATAATTCGATGTGTCCTTGTGTGCCATCCGTCCTGAACTTTTCAATCTCAATGCATTTCCCTCCTTCTCCCTCGCTCCCTCCCTATTAATCTTGTTTTGCTGTTTTGTTTCCCACACGACAGGTTGGGATCGTTAGATTGTGAAGGCCTGGCGGCTGGTGCCGCCGACCCTGAAAGTCATCGACCACGACCAGGGGGGGGAGGAGGAGCAGAAGGAGGAGGAGGAGGAGAAGGAGGCATGGATAGGGAGGAGGAGGAGATCGCTCGGGATCGCTCGGTGGGTGACTTTATCACAGCTGGCCCGCCACGGCCGCCGCTAGCACGCTGGCGGCGACGGACGGCGGGCTGGCGCTCTCGGCCCTCTCCCTCAGGGGGACGAGGAGAGGCCCGCCGAGGCACGCCGCTCGCGCGGAGGCCGCCACTGCCCTCGGCGTGGCGCCCTTCTCGCAGGAGCCCTGGCCAGTGCGCTGCAGTCTCCTTCCTGGCTCCGCCTCGCACGGCGGCGCTGGTCCTCCTCACAGCCACTGCCCTTCTCACATTACTCGCATTTCTCGCACTCGGCGGATTGGGATGGTACGCCTATTCTTTACCCCCGTCGTCTTCAGGATCTGCTCTTCGAAGTCTGTCCTGAGCGGCCTGGAGGGTTTCCCGTTGGAGCCCTGGATGGTGAGCGTGCGGATGTGGCCGCCGTCGCCCCGCACCCACTGCCTGTACCTCTTCTCCACCTTCCTTGAGTCCGCCTCTGGGAGGGGCCCCCACTCGCCGCGGGTGTCCTGCGCCTCCCATTTGCAGCCGATTCCATCGCTGTAGCTGTCGACGTCTGGCTTCTGCTTTGCCCCGTCCCCCTACCTCGGGTCTGTAGCTGATGGCGTCGGGCTCGACCTTCGCGTCTCGCAGCACCACCCTGTCGCTGTAGCTGATGCCGTTTGGCTCGTGCTTCTCCTCCGCCCTTGCTGCCACCTTCAGCTTCGCCTTTCCCTTCTCGCTTGCCCTGAGCTCAGCGCTGAAGCCTATGGTGTCGGGCTCGTCATTCGCCTTCCAATTCTCGCACGCGCTGTTCCCAGGGCGGTGGCTAGTTTTATTGCGTCGGGCTCCAGCTTCACCTTCCTCGCAAACACCGCCCACGCCCACTTGAGGCTGCCACTGCTCGTCTGCGCGCCAGGCCCCCTCCGTGTAGGCCTGCATCCACTGCTCGCCCCACCACGGTTCCTGGCACCACTCCACCAGTCCGTGATCCAGGGCGACTTGCCGGTGCACGTGGAGCATCATTCGTCTGCGGGCCCTCCTGCTGGCGTTGGACGGGTGCCTCGCGCACAAGCCGTGCTGGGCGCACTCTGTCCCCGCCATGCAGTGTCGCCTCCGACGTGGCTCCTCGCGTCACGCCCTCGCGACCTCGGCGCTGGGGGCTCCCATTGGCGCGGGCCTGGCCGCGGCCGC